AATATAATAACGCACACACTCAACATAGCCCCGCACTAGGGAAACCCTGTGTCGCGGGTGCCATGGACACACACATAGACAACCACAAATTACACCCAAACTCACGAGAGAAATAAATGTAGGTCATACAAATATTTCTCTCGGCCCGGGAATCGAACCTGGGACCTCTGCGTGGCAGTCCGGCATGGTAACCGTTCGGCCACGGAGGTAGTTGTTTGAAACATAGATATAGGTTTGAAATAGGAAAAGGCGATTATAGGCTTTTCGGCGTTATCGGTTACTGTTCCACCCGGTATATGGTCAATGTCAGGATTATCCCGTCAAATTATGACGTAAAGATAGGTTACCTACACGTTAACACCAGTAGTGTAGCAAGCTATCAAAACATCGTTGAAGTTACATAGTCGTTCGATCGAAGTCCTACCCTAAATTGGTATTCACGTATCACCTGAACGAACGTTGATATGAATAGAATCGAAACGTAACGACTAATGAACGACATTTTGGATTTTGAAATTTGACGTTTAGTCATTGACTTACAAATAAATTTAGTCATCGAAAGTCTATTGAAAGAACTGTCGAAATTTTAGCAGAATACTTATGAGTTGTCGTAAAATCGATTTGTTCGATTCATATACCAGAATACGCTTGCACGACATTTGGATCGAACGACGTTAAAATTGGACTTGTTGAAGTCCGACCGTCACACGTGATTACGAAAAAGCAGTTCAACGACTATCGTAACGGTTTAATTATGTGAATCGCACTATAGGCGTTTTACAGCAAAGGGGCGTGCTGCTATAATTGGTATGTAAAACAAGACTTCGAATGTGTACGACGTGTACGATAATCTATATACGCAACAAGTCACATCACGACATATAAAAAGAGAGTCCTTTGGCAAACATTCGACTGGACATACTTACTTATTATTTTATTACGAAAGTTATTCTTGTTAATCTCGGACTTTGACTAAAATTACCTTCTAATGACGCCTTAATGCATTTTTAATATCAACACCCTACACAAAAGAATATCAAAACACTTTCAAACATTTCGGACTATCATTCGTTCATACCTTGACATTTACACGAATGCCGTGTTATTTACACACACAATATTATTAACATCAATATCTTTAGAATTATTTTATAATTAGTGTAACAACGAATACATTTATGTAATGAAATGGATATTTATTACTAAGGTCATTACAATTTGTATTTTAGCTATTCGACAGCGAGTACTTCTTGTGTCCGTCAGGATGGCTGGGACAAACGAGACATACAAATCGAACTGGGCCCATTATTTACTACCTATTATAAAATATTTGCTACCTTTGCGCTAATGTATATACCTATTAAAGAAATTAAGTGGCCAGCCATTCAGACGTCAGGATGGCTGGACCTATTTATGTTCTCGTGGTTTCAGCAGTATATCAAGTACATCTTTGATGTTACCATTTACTACCTAAACATATTTTATTGTCACTATTTTAGGCTCTAAGATTTTAGGCAAAGACGTATAATACAGAAGACCCCGGCTTGGCGTGGCCACACGTGAAACAGAGATTATCCTACATACAGCTACACTCATCTATTGAGGTGTGGTTCTAGAAAAAAATTACCTGTTTTATGGGTAAACTCTGGGATAATTTATTTTGTTACTATTGTGATAGGTGTTTATCTATATATATATAGATAGGTATAAATGTAAGACATAAAAATATATAATAATATTTAGTGAGTCTTTATTCGTAATATAAGCTGATTTAACATTTTTTTTTTCTAGGCATAATAAAAAAAGTTGTCAAGGTTTTTATTTTCAGCCGATAATTTTGTTGTCTCAGCCTCCGTTCGTTTTCGAAAATCAGAAATTTTTTTGAAGTTGAATATAATGTATTGCATCCTGCATATTATGCAGGATTTCCATTTAAATTTATTATCTCTTGTAGGCTTACATTATTTTCACTTCCTTTTTCGTACCTCCATTTCTGTCTTTGTATCTCTTGGTCTTTCTTTCCTCTGATTCCAAAGTAACTTTTAAACGTTTGTATTATGGAAATCGAAAACAACGACCTTACGATAAACACCCAGTCCCGAGACAATATAGAGAAAATTTAGTTTTTTCTGCTTTAACTCGGCCGGGGATCGTACCCGGGGGCTCAGACATGGGAAATCATGAAAACAGATACACAAGCCACTACATACAATAAACACGATATACAAGCCACTCGACTACCGAGGTCGTGGATTATATAGCATTTGAACAGTAACAAATAAGTACATAATTTTGTGTGGTTAGAAAGAGCTCAATATGATCACAGCCTTTTCCGTATCGTTACGTAACGAAACGTTACTAAACCGACAATAAAAAACCAAGAAAATATAACTTGGCGCTTTGAATAAACGCTCGCAAATGTGATGAAATATAATTTGAACAGTATAAAATAATATTGTTTTTAATTACATTTTTAACCACAATAAAGGTTTGTGACAAAAATTACCTGCAAATGTACATTTTAGATGAATATCACCCTAAAGTAGTTCTTGTATTGAAAGTTATTTCACAGACATTTTAAAGTTGTGATTTTTAATTGCAACGCTAAGAGTTACCCGTTGTTGAAGGATAGTTTCTTGGGTGCAAGATTTTGGGTGGGGAACGAAAAGGTATCTAGTCAAACTGTTTGATGTAAAAAAGTAGCGGAGTTCAAGAATTGTTAACAATTATACGGAGAGTATGTTTAGGTAGAAAATAGGTCGTAAACGGTAATATCAAAGATGTACATGATGTACTGCTGAAACCACGAGAACATAAAGGGTTCCAGCCATCCTGACGTCAGAATAGCTGGTCACTTAATCTTTTTAATATAAAATAGGTGGTAAATAATGCGCCTAGTTTGATTTGTATTCTTGTTTGATCCAGCCATCCTGACGGACACCTTGTTACAAGTGAAGAGAGCTACCTAAACACTGTGTCGATAAGAAAGGAATTTTATTTTTTTTATACTTTTGCATAAAGTTCGAAATGGAATGTTTTTTAAATTACTTAGTACTTTTTTCAGAGGACGAGATTGCAGAATATGTGTGAAGACGACACACCAAGGCGCAGTTTTCAGCGCGTGAGAAACACGATGGAATTACAAACGTAATTTATTAAAGCAACTCAATTCATGAAGTTTCGTTACAAATAAACAGCGTTTTCATTTATAGGGCGCCGACAGTGATGTAGGTGAATCAGAAATAAATGTTATTGAAGTTAAAAGTGACTCGTTATTCAAAAGTCTCAAATCAAATTGAATTGTGACCTGACAGACGCCATACACTTATGCCTCATAGTTTACATCTAAAACTATTGAACCTTATTACTATAAGTACTTTATAGTAATAAGGTTCAATAGGTATAGATTTAAGGCTCAAACGTTTTAAAAGTGCAAGTAACAGTTGAGTCACTGCGCGTAGTTTCTTCGGCGATTCCACAGATATCTAGGCGTCGTATTTCAGAACTCTACTCAATGCTCAAGTCAGGACTTGAGTATGATTTAAAGCACAGAAAATCATACTCAAGTCCTTGCCATTAGGGTCGTATTTCCAGTACTTGAAATCATACTCAAGTCTTATCAAGTCCTGGCTTGAGCATTGAGTAGAGTTCTGGAATACGACTCTCAGAGAGTAGTTTCCTTAAACGCTAATTAAATAAATTTTAAAAACTTAAATATATTCTTTAGGAGGTATATACAATTTTTCAACCTTTCCACTTTTAATTACGAAAGTGTACCAAGTAGGCGGTGAAGCCTCTTTTCGAGTTATAGGAAGTACGTGATTTTTTCCGTGTAGACAAACAGATGAAAACAATCACAATTAAGAAGTTTCGTTGGTGAACATTATATTCTTGTAAGCAACAAGGACTCTCTACTCATCTTCGCTTCAGTAAAAGCCCAAAACTCAAGGCTATCATAAAAATTTATTAATAATAGATATTTGACACAGACGAAAATATTAGCTATGTTTTCATTATTCAAGCATAGGCTTGGTAGGTTAATGCATAGGCTACACAAACCTGACGACATAATTATTTCAGTATTATTAAAGTTACAAATACAATACAAGATACATCAACTTAATTAAGAAAATCACAGTATCACCTAACAGCTAAATAAAATACCTACAACAATAATTTTATCGTTTCTATTCTGAGAAGTGATAAACCACTTCAATTCTAATTTTATAGTTAATTCGTATTGAATACAATAAAATCATACATTTAAAAATTAAACATTGTACACAAATAACATTAGAATGAAAGATACGAGCGTTAAGGTGGTAAGGATCACGGACTCGATTTTATACAAGAGCATTTGCACATTAATTAGCACATATAATCAATAAAAAAAATCAATACGGATATACACACATCACTTATCACACAATTAAAATATATAAAATCAGCAAGCAAAAAATCTAAACGGCCATCTTTTTCAATGATTGATACTCTTTCTCTGACGCTTAAAATAAATTAAATCAATGGAAATTTTAATCTACGCAAAAGTTTTTGATTTATATAAATTAACTTGGATAGTTTTATGTTGAGCCTCAAAACTAAGACAAATGAGCATTCAAAATAAAATGTATATCTTGTTTTTAAAACTACGTAAATGTTGATTATATTTGCATACCAATCTTATATTAATTATAATATATACATAGTTTAACCTAAAAAACATGTTCCGAAACGTAAGCAAATTGGCTTCTGGCATCTGCTTTTTCTTACTAACCTAACCTACTGAATGGAGGGCGCGACAAAGACTTATCAGGAGATCAATATGAAAAGATATACTGGTTATAAATGTCATCAATCGTTAAAACAATCGACCAATAATAAAAAAAGAGGATCGAAAATTATTTTTGAATAGGTACCAACTATTAATTTAGTATGCTTAAACGTAATAATAGTGTTACCTTGATTGTAGTTCATTTATAATTTATCCGTAGATTAACTAATATAGATGGAACAATCAATATATCAAACATAAAAAATGTCGTTTAATTAAAAAAGTGTACATTTACAATAGATCAATTATATCTTTGAAGATCAAATAATATTATCCCAAATTTTAATAGAAAATGTCAGTGTTTGGTGAGTGACACCATTATGCAAATCCTTTTGTACGACATACCACCTTAAAATATAATTGTGACCCATAAGAGTCTAAATAAAAGTGTCAAGCAAGCAAACCATTTATTATAAAATAACGCGAACTGCAATTTCACGAAGTGCTTCAATTAAGTTGTAGAACTTCTTATAAATAACGGGGAATTAGTGATTAAAGTTGCGAGTGGCTGTAGCCACTGGTAACACGACATATACATATTCACTGTACTCAAAGCACAAAAAAAAATTAAAAAAATGGAATTATAAAATCGGTTTTAATATGAAAACACGGTTTGCGCAAACGTCGTTTAATAATAAAACGGCGTACACTTGAAATTAACAAAACTTGACATTGAGTATTTATTTGAAATCAATAAAAACACCCGAATTTTGTTGAGTGTTATCAGACATGCTGGGTTACCCACTAGCACGTTGACAGACAATAAATATTTACACGTATTTTTCTTTTTTTGGTTAACTGAGGATGTTTTTATTCTTGTAACCTTGAAAATGACAATAAAATTATTTATAAAGTACTTTCCGAAAAAGGAGCAATCGTGTGTCAACCAAATGCTCTAAAGTCAAACGTGACAAATGACATTGAAAATTTAGCTATTACGAAAAGCATGCCTAAGTTTAGCGCGCAACTGACCTTAAACCAACGAAAAGTCAAGTTTTTTGATACAGGATAATTCATTAGGAAAAACGTCATTGTAACGTGGAAAATAAATAAAATATGACGTTATTTTTGTTTCAAAATGTGCAAATAATTATCCGTAAAGCGCGGTAAATTGATGGATAAACAGGTTAGGTTGTTGAAAAATGAATAAATTGTGTGATTTCTTTTTTACGAGATATTCTCCCAATACGCTGAATTTGCTTCACTTTAGACGGCCAGTTCGAATTACGTTAATAAACTTGTTCAATTAAATTTCCATCCAATGGTAGTAAGAGACTCGTATTATGTTTAAAATCCACTTTATCTCAAAAAAATCTTTTTATTGTTCGGCGTATTTTAACTACGTAACCATGCGTATTATTACTCTGTATAGCACCGCAGAGTCGTACATATAGTAAGAATTTGGTATTCATTACTACATAGAATTTTTATCATGCGGCCATTTAAAAAATCACGCTCGTCTTGTGAACTTTATCCCTTAGATAGTAAAAACAAAAAAAAAAATAAGTGACGAGTCACCAAGTACCATAAGATGAGCCGCAGGAGAAACCTAAGGAGGCTTGACGACCGTCGAAAAATGACATATTTAATGATCTACTAATAACCTATTAAGTAGCTCCGCTTGAGTCGTCGTGCCAATCGATGTTATCATTCGTCCCGTAAAACTCAAGGAGCTTGTTTGAGCTATTTCGCACATATTTTATATGAAACCAAGCAATAAGAACTATAAATTCAAGCAGGTAAGTCAAAATTTGACACGTGTATTTGCGGTACGTGTGCAGGATCAATTTTTGGTGTCGTTTTGTAATCACAAATACCGAGCTCTTTAAGTTTCCACTCCCATCCCATCATTTGCACAGCGTGTAAAGTTTCTGCTTCCGTGTGCTGTCGTCGGAGCATCCCCTCCTGTTTGAAACCAGAAAATACGATAGATAAGTACTGACGTTCAAACAACAACGAAATATTCAATTTTCGACATATTTCAATTTAACACTGCATTTACCTTGATTTTTTCCCACTTATCATCGACTTCCTGTAGCCAAGACTTTATTTGCCTTCCGTTGCAACGGGAGCGCTGCGCGTTGCGCTTTTCTTCTTGCTCTGGAGCCAATACGTTATAAACTTCTTTGTCGCGTAGCATTGTGCACACAGAGAAAGGAAGAGCCTGTCAGCCAAAAAAATATTCTACATAAAGCGTTTGAAGTTTAAACAGTAATGTTCCGTTACGACATACCCAGTTTGCAAAATAATTAAAAGATTTTAACATCTTATGTACAGTCAAGAGCACATCAAGATTGACACTTTGTACTTTGGACCGTTCTTATCGTAAGCAGCATAGTTGGATTTAAGTCTTGTGTCAAGCTTGACATGCTCTTGACCCTGTACATTGTACAATACTACCCTCGGAACGAAAAAAGGCACAACTGTTATATAAAGTACGCATAGTTGTGCCCTTTTTCGTTACGAGGGCAGAATAACCTAACAAGCTTTGTGAAAAATCTCCTAAATGTGGAAATTCATTAGTGGCATTTGAATACTCATCTTTATGTATAATAAATTAAATATTTAATTTGACTGGAAGTTTTTCTAAATTTAATAAATGAATAAACACCTGATTGGCGACAGCGCGTTCGGCGCGTCCGTGCACCCTTAAGATTTCTTGTTCAACGGCTAATACAAGTTTCTCCTTTTCGACTAGATGCTGAATGCGTAGACGAGTTCTGTTGATAATAAAAAAATCTTGAAATTAAACGTCAAGTATTTTGGTACAAAAATGCCTCACAAAATAAAATGTTTCACAATTAATCTCTATTAAAGATCTACCACTTAATCAAGCTTCACCTATTTTAATTTTTTTAATGCTATTATTTGCTACTTGTATGTTTACCTTTCTTTTTCTTGTTCCATATACTCGTTTATCATCTGCGTAGGTAGGTTAGCAGGTAATTCGACGGGCGGGTCTAAGTTAACATTATTTTGTAGTGTGTAAGTGCAGCGGTTCATCAGGTATTTATTGAAATCTTTTGGAGGTTTAGGCTTCACAGGAAACAGGCCCTTTTGACGAGTGTCAATCTGTGGAAATAAATAATTAAGTATTTTTAATCTAATAATTAACAATATTTGCAGAATATAATAAAAGTTTGTTCTGACCTGCTTGCGAATATGGATATACATTTGGTATGGGTTGGAATGAGTAATATTATGGACTATACTGGACTCGGGCGCAGGATCATTTTTTTGGTGGTCTCGTGAGTGACTTTCCTTCGTAGCTTTGATTTTTCGCTTTCTGGGATGTAGCTCTACTGACTGACCCTGTGCAGCTGCAAAACAAAAATAATTTTAAGATAACCATTGTAAAAAAAATTAAGCTGCATAACTTAACATACAAGTAAATGATTCTTACCTGATTCTGCTCGTCCACTCGAACTGCCTGTTGTTGATGACGCATGTTCAGCATCCTGGTGGCCCTAAAACAAAGACAATTTAACGTCATAGTGTTTTACCACATTCAAAATTAATTAGATATTAGAATTATTATTTCGCCTATTTTGTCCCTAGCCCTACATCGTCAACACTGTGGTATTGACGGAAACTAAGCCACTTTGATTTTATTTCCTTTTGCTTCGTGTAAAAGAATAACATGGATTGCCAATAATAAAACCCTTAGTGGGATACCTGTGTGATTGGTAAAGACAATCTAAAAGACAACTTACAGAGCCCGAAGGTTGTGGGCTCTTGTTCGTATTCAAATGTCCAGAGCCGCGAGTTTCAGGCCCCGTCTGAGGGGATGTCCTCTCCTTGTCCTTGTCTTTTTCTCCATCATTTGTTCTGTGCGAACGGAGGACTCTTTGTCCAGCCTTGGGAGGAAAAATACGCATTCAGTTAACTGGCATCTCTTACGCAAAATAAGGAGCCTTATGCGATCGTAATAACTGAAATCTCTACGAACACCAATGCTACATAAAATTTTGTGGAATGGTTTGGGTATGGGTGAACTAAAACATTAAGGAACTAAAATAAAAGCTTGATGCTTACAATACGTGCAATAAATCTTATGCTTCTTCCTATACATTTAAACTAATTAGATAAGAAATATGAATACCTTTCCCCCATCTCCACTTTTCTTTTCTTCAATGTTGCCATCAGAACTGTCAGATGTCTGGCCTGTGTCAGTTGTGGTGCATGGAATTACATAGGGTAACGTGGATACACTGCCCCGCCCCTTACCACTGCCTCTTTGTCCAGTTCCTATTAAATATAGAATAAAAAATAATAACAACTTCGGATAATAAATATTACCATATTTTAACCAATAGCAAAAAATAAAAGTGCGCTCTTCTTACCTTCCCCTTCTTGTTCGTTCCTGCTGCCTGAACCACTAGCTCCTCCTGGAATAACTATCTTGAGTGGTGGAACTTTCGGTGCGGTGGATTCTTGGTTCTTCTGTTCGTCAATATCAACTTCTGTCTCTTTTGACTGATTTGGTTTTGGACTTGCCACGGGACTCTTTCTCTCTTGCTTGTTTGCTTGCGATCCAGATACGCCTTTTGAACTTCCCGATTTGCCCTTGCAAAAATACTTTTATTACAAAACTTAACTTAAGTGGTGTGGGGGTAACAATGTTACAGATTATCTTATATGCAGCAAATGATGCTCACCTGACTTTGTGCATTTATTTTCGCTCCGGTGCCACCTCCCTTCCCCTGCGATTGAGTCCCCTTTCCGGTAGTGCCGGCGCCACCCTTATTAGCTTGCGAGGCGCCTTTTCCTAATGGTGCAACTCCTGTCTTACTTGCAGGACCGGGCAGTTTGGTACCAGTCAACACACTTAAAAAAACAGATAATTTTTAATTTCCTCAATCCGTTTATTAAATTGTTAATAATCTTTATTCATTAACACACATTAGCCTTATATATCTAGGGTCGGCAGACTAAAGCACATAAGTCAAAAAAGTGCATCATTTGTTAATTAATTATATATTTTTTGTGTTGTTTTTAGTGGTGGAAGTTAAATAACTTCTAGAATAAAGTTCGAAATTTATGAAGTAACAAATGAATTTGACTTTTGTGCTTTAGCCAGTAGATGTATAAAGGCGATGAGGTGCCCAAACTCGCTTAAATATGGTGTTTTTGTGTAAGTTTTTAGGCGATAACATAGCGCGTGGATCTTTGAAAATAGTACATCCTGTAAAATGTATCTTAAGTGTAGCTTGAAAATCCTAGAATATTGCTTATTGTCAAAGGCAATACAAAAACTGGATTATAGTGAGACTCTGGTAGTTATTTTTTGACATATTTTTCTCGGGCAAACCCAACTTGCTTACTACCAAATTTGGTGTGGTTATTTAAATGGTACTTATCTTGATCCTGACACTTTATTTGTTTTAAATAAAAGACAAATAACAAATTTAGGAGTAAAAAGTAACTTTCGCCTACTAAAGTACGAGCTAAATATTTGCTTGCAAATTATGGATAGGCACTTAACAGTGTGAAAAAATATCATACACAAAAAAATACGTATACTTACGTACGTACATACGTTTACTTATGTAAATATAATGCACCAATTCGTTGAAATCAAAACAAAATATTTAAAAAAAAGTCAAATTTAGCCATTAGGTGAAAATTAAAAAAATATATTTTTGGTTGGATTAGACCCTAAAACACAAAGTATTCAAAATAAAAATGAAATTATTGTGTGCGTCCTTGATTATTTAGTAAAATTGCAACGTTCAAAACTTCTGCTGCGTAGCTTGCGTTCGTGAGATACGTTGCCAGACCTCTGTTTTGACATAGTTTTGACAAATTAATTTATATTGTATTGTAATCGGCTGTCTACCGTCGAACACGATACTTACGGTATATGAAGTTGGACATAGTTATGCAAACTATAACCTACCCATAAAATGTCACTTTCGAGATAATTAGATTTTTGTAAAAAACAGTGTGAAGAACTAAATAGGTAAGTTATTTGAGACTAGAGATGTGCCGAGTACCGTTTGCTACTCGGTACTCCGTGAACTCGGCCGAATAACTCGGTTCATGAGAAGAGTACTCGGTTAAAATAAAACATCACAGCTATAGACACAATAAAGTAAAATCAACAATATATTTAAAATATTCAAAAGAGATTTATTACTAGAAATTGTAGACAATTGTAACAATTTCTAGCAATTTAGTAATTTAAAAAGAAAGTTTACATTATAATTATTATAAAATTTAACAAAGGCAAGTTATGATGTAGGAATATTTACAAGGCTTTCTACGCGTTCAGGTAATAGTATGTTCCTTTTTTCTTCATACACATTACCCGCTTCAGCAAATAACCGCCCGCTCGCTATACACAGTGCTTGCAGTGTGCACCCGCACATAAAAACACTCGTGCTAACTGGGCCAGTTTTGGATATTTTGTTTTCTGCCCACCATTGGAAAGGACTCTGTTCTCGCGACAATAAACTTTCATTGACATATCGGTCTAATTCTAGAGCAACGGGGGCTTTTAGGATCATCGCGTTCCGGTTGTAATGAACCGAGTAACTCGGCCGAGTACTCGGCTCGGCAAATGTTAAACCGAGTAATATTCGGTACTCGGTTACTCGGTAAAACTTGTACTTGGCGCATCTCTATTTGAGACAAACGTTGTACTATAGCAGTGAGAACGATATAGGGAAACTATTATACTATATAGCAATAAATAGAAAACATTATGTATCTTTTTATCAACGAGAACCATGTTCTAGTTTTCGTAATGAAAACTACAAAGATCTACAGTACTTCAGTACATGTGACATGGATTCGTTTAGCATATTTTAAAAAGACATTATATGAAGTTAATCAGCAAGGTACGTTTTAGCTATTAAAAAGTTACTTATTTAGGGTTGGTACCCTGAAGGACTTTTATTTTCTCCGTTTTGGCTTGGTATGTTGCCAGGATCTTTTGTGAGCGGGTAAAGGACACGTCTGGTGTTCTACCTAAATACATAACTCAATTTCACAAGAGGTGTGGGTTGTTTCTTGTTTGCATTACATGTCCAGTTCTTATTTGCTTTGACATTTTTTGGTTTGATAGCAAGTGTGTATTTTAAGTACAACGCCATCTGTTAGCGGTAATCAATATTATGTTAAATCAAGCGGAAGGTCCGACTACCACACTCTTACCGCATCGGGGCGTATGGCGCCATCTTATTAGAGAAATTACAGTAGGCGCGTTATCGCTCAAGGTCATCGACGCTTGTCAGCGTCTTAATTTAAATGAATGATGTTGGAGTTTGACTTATGTGCTTTAGACCGCCGACACTACATATAGTAGTAAAGAAATTTACTGATTAGAAATGTCAACAAAATACAACAAACAGGTAGAAAAGGTGTAACTAATCTACAAACCCTACTTACTCTCCTAAACTAGACAAATGTCTGTGTCTCAGGAGACAGTGTTGTAAGCATAAGTGTGTATGTATATTTGTTTGTATGTGTATATAAAATCCAAAAGTGATTCCGTAAATTAATATTTTAAGTAGTTCCTTTGTAGCCGCGTAGTCGAAAGTCTTCAACCAATTTTACAAGTTAGAGTTCAGTTCGTAACTGGATAAGCCAAAAAATTGTGAATTCTGCTTAATTTATTATATAGAAACGAGCTTAATACATAAAACTGTGTGCTTGCAAAGGTGGTCTAATGCTGTTCACTTGGACACACCGTTCTTTTAACACGACGGTTTGGTTGTAGGGGAGGTACTTGTACGATGTTCTCAATATGGGCCTGAGAATAAAAAGCTGTCTCACTGAAAAGATTTGAGTCTCAGCGTACCGTTGTGCAGTCCTCCACCTGAAGTGACGGTTGGTTATAACTGTCAAAACAGCTCTCTGTGCCCGTTCCAATCCAAGTAAGTAAGTCTTAGCAGCGATACCCCACGTGGAAGTACAGTAACTAATGATGGACTGGCATAAAGCCAAGTATACCATATTTAAAGTTTGTGACTTACCACAGTTACGAATATGTTTGAAAACATAAATTAGTTTTCTTACTCTAGAGGTCAATGATGCTAGTTGCATATCGACTGTGAACTGGCAACCGGTACTATCTCAATTTTGACAACTTTACACGACGAAGAAAAGAAATTATTTGCGTCATGTATATAGCATCTGGTTTATTAAATAAAAACACGTACAGTATGTGTAATAAAAATATTTAAAAAGTACGTATTTTTATTTAATAAAAAAGATGCTATACAAATGACACAAACATTTTTTTCTTCACCTGATAAAGTTGTCGAAATTGAGATAGTACCGATTGCCAGTTCACAGTCGATATGCCAGTTCAGTCCATCATCAACCTGCACTCCTAAATATCTGATGTGCGTCACACGATTAACCGCGGTACATGTTCAAGAGAGGACCTGTGCACCGGTACAGGTATGAACGGCAGTAGAGTACGTGGTTGGTGGCTTGGAGACAGATGTTATAAAGGACGGAACAAAGTAGGTTTTACTCGTGTTTAGCGTCAAGCAATTAGACTTTAGCCATATCATTATCGTCCGTAAAGAGCTCTCCGCAGGATTTTTTACCTGTTACCAACTTTGTCCATACACAACAGTGGTAGTGTCATCTGCGTACGTAAAGATTTGGGAATTTGGAAATAATAGTTTATAGAGTTCATTAATGTAGACCAAAAAGAGTGTAGGCCCCAGAATACTTCACGAGGCACACGTCACGAGCGATTACTTATTTTATGTTTAAAAATGCCGACTTGTGTCTTTAAACATTGTAAAAGTTGTCCCCAAAAACAAAAAAATTAAGATGGAATATCAATTCACAGGGAACCACTGTTCATTTAACTGTTTTGTAACTTATTTAACTGTTTTGTAACTTATTTACCCGATATTTTTTGAGATTCACTCGAAACGCAAAACCTCGACACAAATTCGTATGTGTTGCCATCTTATATCATGAGTTTCCTTAAATTATGTAAATATGCATGGATGATAGGAGCATCGTATAATTTATACTTTTGTATAGATATTAATAATGCATGCATTTACACGCAGAATGGTCCAATTACAGCGATCCAAAATTGTTTTTAGGTAACTCAGATTTATCTAAATTATTCTCAAACCAATCTCTAATCGCCATAATGTAACTACATAAAAGAAAATGTTAAAAACAGCTAAAATTGTAGCCCTATATATACAGAGAACTTTCATTTGTTGTGTGTGTGTGATTTTGTAAGAAAACGTGTCAATAAAATAAAAAAATGATTATAATGTACGTGTACGTAATTTTTTGGGAACATCATTAAATTTCATTGGGAACAAAACAATTTTTGTCAAATTTAAACATCGCCAATGCTATGGAATTGATTACAAATTTAATTTAATAAAATTTTTAATAGAAAAGTATTAGATGGTGAGATTGGGCTACATATCAAAATTAGAAACGAATTCTCGATGTATAGACGCGAAACTGTAGTATTATAAAAAGTGGGTACAAAATAAAGGTTATTAAGATATTATGTAACTGTGATTGTAATAAATATTTTAAATTATCAAAGTTTTCCAAATTTTTTTAAAACATCGTTATAAAATATTCTTTCCTTTGTGTGATGTAAATCAAATAATAACAATTAAATATTAAATTATATAGCATATAATTTGTTTGATATTCTAACACCACATAAGTACCTATATTGCAAAATAACATTTCCAGTTTGTAACAGTATTATAGAAAGCAACAGAAAAAAATACGGGAGGTTTTTCGCAGCATCTGGCAATCTTATACGCACCAAATGTCCATGTCCCTACAGTGCCCCTCCTAGTTGTCACGCACACAGTAAGTGAAAAGTGGCTTCACTTCGTTTGTTGTGTATGCTCTGCATCTGCCTATTGTTTTACAATCTGAGGGATTCAGTTAGATCACTTACTGTATCCTCCATTGAGATTCCAGATCTAAATCCATATTGATTTGCAGCAAGTATGTTGTTAAGTTCTAAGTACTTTAACAAACGTGAGTTTAATATTCTTTCAAACATTTTAGATAATGCAAGAAGTACAGACATTGGCCTGTAGTGATAGACACAGCCTCTGTCCCCACCCTTATAGACTGGATGTACTATTGCACTTTTAAGCATTGTATTTTAATGTAACTTGGAGTGACAGTAAGTTACAAAATTTCTAAAATATATATATGAAATTACTTACACAATTTATTTTAGACCACAATACGAAAAGGACACCAAGTTCTTTTTTATTACCTTATAGAGAAGTTTATGCAAACTAATGAAAGCACACCAATATACTCACCGGCCAGGCCCTCCTCTAGCTACAGGTGCAGGTTTTGCCATAGGTTCTTTTTCTTCAGTGTCCTTCCTCTTGCGTCGTTTCGAGTTGTCATCTTCTGCAGTGTCTGTCTCATGGCTATCATCAGAATACGATCTCTTGCTACCCACAGGCGTTTCATCTTGGGTAGAAGAGACCACTGCGCTGCTTAGCTGATTTCCATCTGTAACAATTGAGCTATTTACTTACATCAACTGATAACATGTATCATTTTATTCAGAAATACTTTATAAAGGGCATGAGTATTATATTTTAACCTAAGCTCTCTGATTTACATAATAACATTCCCCATTCAGCTTTGCTAAGTTATTCACGTAACGTTATAGTAGTGTTCTCATTTTAACTTTCTACCAACCATCCCTATTGTCATTGTTCCCTTTTTCCGGTGTGGCATCTTTCCCATCAAAGTGTTCACCCTGTGCTAGGCCATCCATATTGGTTTTCTTACTGGTGTCACTGCTACCACTCGCATTGCAGCCTTTTTTGGTACTGTCATCCCTTCCTCGACTAGAATGTGAAGCTCTCGCGTTATCTATTAAGAGAAAAATATTTGATATAACCATATCTCTTGTAACCACAAGATATAGATAGATATTGAGTAGGTAATGTACCCAGTATTTAATAAATATCAACGTATTGATTACCACCATTGTCCAAACTTCTATAATGGCACTGTTTCACTGTAGAAACATATTAAGAGGATTGTGAAGGCAATACAAAAAACGCAAACATTTTTAGCCGGCAACTTAACTACAAAGTCTATATATATATATATAACTATCAATAATAATTTAATGTGATATTGTTATGATGAATTAATATAATAACGCGCACACACTCATAGCCCTGCACTAGGGAAACCCTGTACCGCAGGTGCCACGGACACACACATAGACAACCACAAATTACACTCAAACTCACGAGAGAAATAAATGTATAAGCCATACAAATATTTCTCTCGGCCCGGGAATCGAATCCGGGACATATTTATATATATTTTCACATTTTCGATATTTGTTATAGGTTTATTGAACCGTGTAAGTACATCAATTCACTTATTTTTAGGTCACAATTTCTTTTGTACAGTGAAGGGCATATAGAATAGAATAGAATAGAAAATCATTTATCAAGCTTGACATTTTGTACTTTGGACAGTTCTTATCTCAAGCGGCATAGAGTTGGATTTCAGTCTTAAGTAAAAGCTTGACGTGCTCTTGACCCTGTACGAAATAATTTAAACCACCCAAGAGACAAACAAAACTTACAAATCTAGTTAAAAAATATACTGAATCAAATGAGATCAAAATTCTATAAGATTTAAAGGCGGATAGATACTCGATGCAGAAGCTCTATTTTCCCTTTCGTACGATTATTTCCTATTGAGTGCATTCAGAGTGAGGGTAAAGAACACCGATGCAAAAGATTTGACGGAATCAAAATCAATATCAGTAAGCACAAGTTTGTAGGAAATAATTTGCATGGAAAAACTACGCTGTGTAAAGAAATAATTATAATGATAATGGTAAAAAATTTGGAAATTACATTTCTCTATTTATATCTTATATCTTTTAAAACCATGAGCAACACATGCATTCACTCGACTTCCATTTTAACCTCTGACGACTTCTTAAGGTATAATATAATTTTTATACCAAAGAATCAAACTTGGAGTCGTATCACCGCGTCGACATCTCACAGCCGTATTTACTTTTGTCTGTACACCAGGTCGATTCAGAACCTTACTATAACTCTGTTGTCGACCGATTCGATTAAATATCGTACGATTTCTTTTCATTTTTATTCACAATACCCGAATCAAACGTTACACTGTCGTATTCGAAACCGAACCGCAATGACGCCACACCCGTACTTATCGAATGAAAGTCACCGAACGTCCTTATTGTTTACAAAGCAAAAATGTAATATGGAAAACTTTTATTATTTTAAATAAAATCTGGATATTGTTTAATTTTATTAATTTATTTTAATGCGAGACTAATGCATTCCTATATTTTAGGGCTTTAAAGTCTTAAAAATGTATGTAAAAGGATTTCATTTTTCTTATAATCAATATTCGCTACAACTCCGTAAACGTTGTTAGATAAATAGACGAATCGGAATCGAACGTTTTAACTCGAATGTTCTGAATAGCTCGGAAAGCGCCCTTCGATTTGAGAACGATATCCAATCGAACGATTCGGTTAAGATATCGAAGAGTTCTGAATCGGGGTCCTGTATCGGTTTCATACACACAACACACGCCGTCACGTCTGATTGCGACGATCTAATATAAATCTGACCATATTAAATGTATGAAACTGATACCGTTCTGCCGCGTCACTACACGTCAGACAAATGTAAATCCAGCTGAGCTTAAAGCGCCCCCTATTCACTGCGGACATCTTAGCTAACATATCGTTTAACTAATGTAGGTACTTGCAATTTGTTCTGGCTTGCCAAGTCGGCGGTTTACCTCTAAATGTGGGGGAAAATAAATATGGCTTCAATCTGCAACACCAAACTACTTTTCAGTGCTAATAAGAAATATGAATTATTATTTTTTGTATTTATAGGCTATTAACATAAAATAAACAGGAGATAATGCTATTACATACAAGTACTTATAAATTAAATTTTCTATGTAAAGCACTGACATTTATATTTATAATCTAACCACAATTTCTAGCTAAGAATTACAAAGGATGTTTGTCCTGTAATGTTCTTAATTTATACAGATATTTTTTTTGCAAATTGTTAAACAAAAAATGTTGTAAAAATCTAATTTTGACGAAACTTGTAGACACGTCGCTTACAATCATAGGTTTGGTCAATACGTGAATTAAAATTTACATTTCATGGGTATTTAAGAGTTCGTATATCACTTGTGTTTCTTAATAAACATGAGTTGCACTAGCCACTTGGCGAACAATGTTAATCGGTCGTAATTTTATAGTCTAGAAGGACTAAAAAACTAGAATAAAAGAAAAGAAAATTTAGTTCTTTACTTTGCGAGTGAAATGGCACTTGTTACAAAATAGATATATTTTGCGCCACAGCGACCAGTCCTCCTGTACCACTCCTTGCTATATATGTAATGTAGTTCTATATGTTGTACGCGTGCCGCCCAGGTGGACAGCTTTGCCGCAATAGCAAATATATTTCGATATTTATATTGATATATATAGTATCTGGCTTCACAATCCTCTTTAACTAGAAAATATACATTACACTCATCGTAATTCACGTTATTATAGTCTGTCTAATTTTTAAAGCTTGAGTATGCTTTTTCAACTCACCAGAGGTCAAATAATTAATACCAAAATTTACTATTAACAAACGCCTTAACAAGCACAAATATGTAAGAATTACATGTATTATGTGATATTGATAGCAAATTGATATATACATATTTATTAATAATAATTATGATAGCACTCAGCACTTTGAGATTTTGATTGTTTAAATGCAATTTTTTTGCTAACATGACACAGTCCTATTAATTATCCTAATTACTAAATTACAGTCAATGACCCAAAATATTGGGCTTACCCAACTCTTCGAATATGTATTATTTTTGAAATTTCTAATGTTTACTTAAAATTATCATACTTAATGTCAGTCGAGGGAACTTAGCACAGTTTCATTGCTTTTTTTGTGAACTATAGAAGACATTTAAAAAAAACAATACTGTAGTAGTTTAAAATAAACTTAACAACACAAGACTATTACCAACTGACAAAAGTAATTTTAGATCCTATTTATAAATTGGAGTTGCAAGGCACTTTTGAATGGTAAGGCAGACTCACTATAATTTCTCGTTAACTGGCACAATGACGAGGCTACTGCTAATTATTCTAGTCAATTTATTTGCGCAGCCCATGTCAAACAGTTAATGGTTAAGACTGGAGTTAATAGTGTTAGTAGACAATCATGAACAGTTGACAAATATTTTTCACAGGAGAGTCTACCAAATTAAACTACACCTACTATCTATCATTTTACTTTTTCTATTACAAGCATTATAACCTAATTAATAACATCATTTTTTAATTCATATTTATAAAGTTTATTATATAGAAGGCAGATTCCAGATAGCCCTTGCTACATAATCTTTTGTTCTCTATGTAAGAATCCTAGGCCTAATAGAGAGTCCAGTACATAGAGTACACAGTAAGGAGTATACAGAATGTAGAGTCTAGTACACTAGACTCTCCATAGACGTGATATGAATTATTACTCGATTTATTTATAGGGGGTTGACAAAACATTTTAGCTGATATGAACATTAAATGTGTAGAATGAGAAAACATATTGAACCACAAAACAACAACTAAAGTAAAGTATACCACATAAAACTATTGTATGAAATACAAATAGCTGATACAAAACAAATAACAAAAGTGTCAAAAAAGTGTTACACAGTAGAAAATTTTTATAAGACATTCTTGTTTAATATGTATAAAAATGTATCCTCTCCTGTCAACAATAATGAAACGCAACTGTGCATTTATTGTAACACACAATAATAAATTCCAAACCTGAATGTATTTGAATCTATATTTTTATTTTGTTATTAATCAGAATCAACATAACACTCCAATTTTGGGCTGCGTCTACTAAATTCTCGTTCATGCCGCACTGCTTATATACTGGAAAGGACCATACCTACAAATATGTCCAAATACGGTGGATTAATATAATTTTTTGTCAGGGTGCCCCATTGAATCTGTTGTGACGCACAGCGTGCCCTAGCATGAGACGGCGTGACTTTTAATGGAGGTGAAAAAGCTGGTAAGGGTGCGGTTGCCAAAGAGTTTAAAAAAATACCATGAGCAGTACAAACGTATGCAATTTACCGTGCAAAGAGCAGTTAGGTGATCACTAAGCAATTATACACTATTCTTGTTGCCTATTAAGATGATCGTGACTTTATCTTCACGATTGTCATGGTAAAGAAGCTTGACGTTTCACTCAGCTGTGCAAAGGGGATTGGCAAGCAATCCGCACCGAGAAAATAACAGGTTTACCTTTGAAAGCGAGAGATCGAAGGTTGGATACTAAATCACAAAAACAAAGGAAAGATAACTAATGCACTATTCTAATCATGTCGTCACGCCAAACAGGTCATCATATATAGTGGTTTACGCAAAAGAGTCTAGCACGATCTCCTTTTGCGGCGTGCATTAAATAAATCTGTTTTAAAGACCAAAGTTAACGATGATTAAACTCGCCTTTGTTGTGCGAGAGCGCTCTCCTTTGCATTTCACAATATAGGACACTATTTATAATATTTACTCGGCGTTTACGAAAATTTTCACTATAAAATTACAGTAAATCGGCCTGGTAGACCGCCACGAAGTTGGCGTTGCAAGCGGCCATCACGGCGACAGCAACACGCCCCGCCCCATGACGCTACGTTTCATTTTACGCAGCTATGTAGAGTCGAAATAAAAGATCGATGAAATCGTGACGTACTTAATTTTCCAAATGTTTTTGCTATACGAATATAAACATATTATGCTACTTTCGATGCATGCATTAATTATACCTACAAAGCGTTACGGATACATTTACTGTTTTATATATTTAGTTTGTTTTTATTAACAATTGAGCACTTTCACAGTACCGACTTACAAGTAATATAATTTCGTAGTCAGCCAACAGTCACATCTAAACTCCGGCTATAAGTTACTACACTTATGGGCATGAAATCGCATTAAGCCGGTTAGAATAAGCTTTAAATCCATATAATAAGTGCGAAAAAAAGACTGCGCGTTATCGTCGTCGGGCGAGCAGACTTTAACGACCCTTTTAGCTCTTATTGCATGGGCATTGTTTTTTTCTCAGTAGCTCATACAAATACCGCGGCAATAAGTATGGTGACACTATAGAGTGTACACCACACTTATTGCCGATGGGAACACCACTGAACAATAAATACAGTAGGTGGTCAGTTAGCGTCGAACGCGTGCACTGAGCTCAAGGAGGCCTTTTGAGACCTACCATGGATTAGGTCTCAAAAGACCTACTTCAACTCACTCCGCTATTTTCGCTTTGTATGATGGTCTTTCGCGCAAATTCTCTAAAATTACAGAAAAATGCCTTGTTGCGCTATTTTGATAGCCGCTCCAAAAATATTACGCTAATAGTATTTCATATATCATGGGTAAGTCTTATTATTACCATTGATTATTACATAATAAATTTTCAGTTTTGTTTATCGAATTGATTCAGATGTTAATCGATCGTCGTAGTCCAGTTACTGACCGCAAGATGACAGCGCATTGAATAAAATTTCAACATAAAATCAAAATGTCGTAACTTGCAACAAAAGGTATTGAACTTTCAACGATATTAGCGACTGGGTAAAGTTTAAATAATATTAACAATCCAAAATTTGTTACGTCCATCTTTTTAAATTAGAAACCGACCAATGATATGACCGAGAAATGACCAATCATTACAAAGAATTGGTAGTGTGTATTTAGTTTGTGTGCGTTTTGGCGACAGCGGTTCCGATAGGTCGCGTGTATTTTTTCAACTCTAGTTAGTTTTTCCGAGATGAACACAAACTGTCAAGACTCCCATTTGCAAGTTGAGCCTTATGCGCAGGTCACACCGCGAACGAAGCTAAGCTAACTTAGCTTAGCTCACATAGTCGGAGCATCTATTCATACTTCGGTTCACACAGCAAACTAATCTAACTAAACTATCTATATATAATACCCATCCTGCTAAGCTTTGTAAAATATGTCGTCCTTCTGCCGCCCTTCACCCCCGCAAATATCCAAAGTGTAGCACGTCACTACTTACTCGCTACTTACGTATTTTCTTAGCTTAGCTTTGCATGCAACTACGTGAGCTGAGGAAAGCTAAGTTAGCTTAGCTTCTTTCTCGGTGTAGCCTGCGTATTACGTCGTTCATACTACAACTTACGCAAATTGGTTTTAACGACATCTTGTTTCTAAGCAAATACGTTTTGCAGCTAGTTGCAACTATGTATAATACATAGCGTTGAGTTACAACTTAATTTCAATAACAGTATGACAGGCTCATTTTGAAAAATCTAACTTTCTTTTTCTATTGACGATCCGTAATGGACTTTTTAGTTTTGTGAATGCGAGCGTAGCGAGTGAAGCTCCTTTAGCATGCACTTAAATTGTACAATCTATATTTCTTGAACGATATTTCTCGGCCGTTCCTCAACCTAAGATAATTGAGGTCAATGATCACCATGTGAAGTTTATTTATTATTACTAAATTGTAGAATTTTGCGCACGCAAGTCTAAAACTACGGAAAAAGTAAAGAAATTTCATGGAATTCTGAAAAAAAAAACGACTGTTCCGATTCAGTAGGCAATCGACATTCCGGTAACCAGTTTTTGGAAAAAACGCACATGACAGAAGGATAGCGAAAGCTGCCCCAATAACGACGAAGAGCCGTTCCTGGACTTTGCTAGTATAATTTTGCGTTTTAGTTTATGCCTAGTTATCAATATATTTTTGTATATTTTTAGAAGTCGGGTATATAAAAATGTAAAACATTGTATTTTAGAATAGATGCAAGAACACAACGCAATTGATTCAGTTCGACCATAAATAACGTAACGTTCTTGTACGTACGTTTCATATTAAGCATGATTGAATGTTTACGTACCTGAAGTGTTTGGTTATTTTGAAGTACACACATAAAACACTAAAGCTATAAAATACTAAACGAAATAATCAAACAGTAATATATATAAAGCAAAAACTAGAACAATTTGTCAAAAATATTTAGACAATATTTTCAATGAGGGATAATGAAAGTTACAAAGGAACGTTTTGACAAGAGACTCCTTGTCAATGTCAATGTCACATTGTAGATGTAGATATTGAGGATAGTATGACCATTTGTGGCAGATGTCTATCATTTGGGCAGATTTAATTTTTATTCATATTCATTGCTGCAGAACCTGATAAGTTACATTAAATGTGGCAAAGTTTGGCAGATTTGGGAATTCCGGTGCCAGTATCACAGAAAACTTTATAAGTACATGCACTTACTGAAAATTCACTCCCCAAGAACCTCGTGTAAAGATTACAGATAAACATTAATAAAATAAAAGATGAGTGCAATACACATTATCACAACCTATGCGCATGGATAATGTCTCCATCAAGCTAAACTATTGAAATTGAAGGTCACGCTCACAGCCACGCTCCACTAGTGTATTCCCAAAGGACCAGCTACACATCCCATCTCTACCGCGAGTATACGTAAACAAACCACGTACACGTTTGTATCTAAAAATGTGCGTGCTTTTACAAGCGGTTCCTTTTCCAATTGGGAATTTAATATCAACTGTTTCATACATACACCCTTCATACACCTAGGTCGCAACCATTTTATCACAGATCATATCAATTTATGATTCTTAAAGTAAATAGGTATTCGTATTGATGAATATTACTTATAATATAGACTACTCGATGAATGATGTCGCCGAATAAATTGACCTAATCAACATTCTATATAGGTACAGTACCTACATCTACACAGGAAGTTAGGGGTAGCGCTAGATTAATTGAGGGAAGACGGTAAAGCAGCTCGACCACGTAGATGGACATAATATTTCGAGTTGCTACGGGAAAAAGCGGGGCGACGCGAGCGGAATATATTTTTAATCTGTACATAAGTCCTAAAATAGAATAGCCAATAATCCAAAATGCAAAGTACCTACTTGTAGACGATTTTGTAGTAAGTTGCAATGATTTCGATCGCTATCGATAAGCAGCTACAAGACAGTGGCCCGTTTTCGGATGTCTGGCCATCCAAAGCGATGGCTTGGCCTGGCTTTCGGCATCAAATGTGATACCCAAATTTAATAAGACATAGTTAACTTTATTGAAATAGAGACAGAAATAACAGCCATTTATGGCAGGCAGTATTTCTGACTTTTTTTATGAAGGAAAATAAATAAGAAACTAAATTAATATTAAATGCAGACCGCCAAAATCCTAATTCACGTATTTTATTTACTCCACAAATTATAGGTGTTGTTATAGGCGCAAATGAGTTGGCCAACATTTTGACGAACATGTTCACTAACTTGGAAACTTGAGTGGTGGACACATGCTCTGACATGTTTGCCAACATGTTAACTGGCATGTTAGTCAACATGTTCGCAATGATTGCCTGGATTTTTTATGTGACAGAACTGCTGTAAGTGACTGGTTTCCAAAATATTAGTTAGAAAGATGTACTAGTGAAATTAATTGTGGACGGTCACTATAGGTACACAGACCTTATTCTCTGTCTTTTTGAAGTTATTTACAATTATTGAGTACATGGACTAAGAAAAAAATGTTAACTCGCATGCAAAGGCTCAGCACTTGATTGAGGGAAAAACAACTTTAATTGTTAAAATCATGAAAACCAAGCACTTACGACAAAATAAATAAATAGGTGTAGTTAGTAAGAGTTAGTAAGCCGGTGGGTGTTGCTATACATGCATGACTTACCAGCAATACCAGAAGAAGCTAAATTGTGTTTCAGATATATATTAACTAAAATTGGCTGACTGTATAAAATATGATTAATATCTTTTAATTGCATTGCCTAAACAAATAAATATCATAAATGAATCACCAGCACTGCATGATGTATAATAATCAGAAGATATTAACATCATTGTGTCCACTGGAGTTACACAACGAAAATAACAATTCATTTAATACAGATTTACACAGAAAGTATTTTTAGAAAAATATTGTTTCATTATATATAAATGTATATAAATGGAACCATTATAACTGCCCCAAAAATGTATTAGAAGTTAGCAGAATGTTAGGCACCTGATTAAAGTTTGACACAGATTGAATCGGGCCAGCTTACCTCTAAGAGATTCAAGATATTCCAGTATGTGTTGTTCTGCATAATCTATAGGCATTTTTCCTTTTGTGTTCTTAGCAAAGGGTTCGGCTCCATTTTCTATAAGAAACTTGACTAATATCAAATTGCCTGAGGTGGTAGCATCGTGCAGTGGTGTGTCATCATCTAAACCTTTTGCATTCACATTTGCCCCACCTTTAACTAGAACTTCAGCAACATCCATGAAGCCGAAGCTGCAAGCTTCATGGAGTGGAGTCCACCCTGAAATATATTTTGGCTATAGAATGTAGATCATGTTGATTATAAACTCAACTGTCAAGACATAAATGAAATATTCTTTGAGATATCAAGTAGCACAATCCAATTAGGTCCTATTACTGCTTCTAATAATGATATATATTAAACATAGCTGTTTTTTTTTTTTTAATTAAGACAGCTGCATTTTATATTTAAACTATATAATTAGTTTATTCAATAGAACAAATTCCTCAATATTTCCCATAGATACTTTCATAATCTTCTCTCTAAAGGTTCTGGTCAATCCTGATATTACAGTTCACAAAATATCAGATACTGCTAACTTTGTGTTTGTATACAACATCGATAGGCCAACTATTGTGTGTATTTTTTAAATAGCCATGATTTCTAGCTCCTCAATCTTCATGCACAGGATGTAAGCAATCATTCCACAATGCACATGTGCACTTCACAGAAGCTTCGAGTTCTGTCATTCAATCACAGCAATGTCACCACTCCATTGATTGGAAGGGTTGTTTGAAAGTTTAACATGTTGTGAAAATTACTTCATAGAAAGCAATAACTATTGTAAAATTTGTATGAAATTTGGCAATATGACTTATATAAATATTAAAAGTGAAAAGGACTATGAATTGGTTTTTGTTGTGTTCATCAAGGTATATTAAGATTGTGCAGTTTTAAAACTGTAACCCTGTTACAGCAGTAGTAGAATTAAGCAGTCTAGTTTAGAAAGGGATTTTTTATTTATAAATTTCAACATTTATTTATTTTTTTATTTTCTCCCCATAGCTTACAAATACTACAATGGCAGCATATACAGATATAGATTTAAACAATGCTAAAATGGGAGACTGGTGTCCAAGCTAGGTAAAAAAAAACCTGTGTCATGGATCAAACAACATGTGAAAATAATCAGATATTTATTAGGACTAATAAATCTTGCTTGCTAGAAAATAGGATGTACTTGTAATCAATTCCATGCAGTAGTATCAATTAATTTCTTTGCTGTTTAAAACTGCACAATTAAGCATTTAAAGCTCAATCTATATTGCGGACTAGAAACGTTTTTTTGTAATGATATTGTACATAGCATAATGGTCAGTTGGAAACATACAAACTAGATATGAATTAAAATCTTCCATGGATTGCACGAGAATTCCATGGAAGATTTTGGCGCGTATCTACTTTGTTTGTTACACAATTGACCGTAAAGTTCATTATGCAACAATATTCTGACGAAAATTTGCTTCCATTCCATTCCACCACAATAGAAATTGAGCCAATGTATCCACTTGAAAAATATGAGTTTGTTGTTGAGTATAAACAAAAAAAAATTAAGGTTAACGCATCATGGAGATGTGGTAGGCTCTTACTTAATTTCAAATAAGAACATAGGGTCTCTAATGCCCAGGCTGTGGAACAAATATTCTTAAGTGTAGAGTGTAAAAGCAACAAGAGCCATCATAATTCTCTTACTCATTCGATCACAATTTTGATATTGTTAACTACAGTGACCAACACCCTAAACCTATGGTAACATTGACAATGCTGCCCTCGTAATGAAAAAAGGCACAACTATGCGTACTTTATACAGCAGTTGTGCATTTCTTTGGTTCGGGGGCAGAATGGCAGTCCTCATTGTTAACTGCACTCTATGAAAATTCTTATTCCTATTATAAGACTTAAATATTTACATTGAAAGCTAAGAAATAACAATGTAGTGTTAATTTACCAGCAAAGTCAGGTACATCTGGATTCTGGCCTTGATCTAGAAGTTTCTTGACCTGCTCATGATCTCCCTTTATAGCTGCAACATGGAGAGATGTCTCTCCGCGTAGATTGCGCTGTTGCCTAGACTTCTTCCTCTCTTCACCCGCTGGATATGGAAAGGGCGGGAAATTGTATTTTGCTCAGACACAAAATGTAGTAACAAAGTTTAAATAATTGGTTACCTGAAGGGACGTCCTGTGTTGATATTTGCATCACCAGCTGCAGCTGCTGACGCTCCGACATAGGTGCTAGGACTTGGGTCCGTGGCGCACCGTCCGGCCCGCGACCGGAGCCGCGCGACCGCGACGTTGACGGCATCTTTCGGGCATGCCCACTCGTCTACAAATAAAACAATAAACTGTCCCTAAGCGAGTAAAATCACCAGAAAACATATTGGGGACCACCTAATAACGCTGCAACGGCTAGGTCTACATGAGATACCAATTTTTACCTTCTTAATGGTGTCTGCAAAAAATCACTCTATTCAACACAATAATAACAGTTTTAGGGATTCGTTAGCTGAAGAAGAAACACTGAGTTTATAGATAAACATTGTCAATTTCACAAAATTTGTATTGTAATATGTCAACTCGTTTATACATTGCGATGCGAAGAAGATAGACTTCCTTTATTTTTTTTCCATCCTCTATGAGACAGCACAGACAACGACGAATTGAAATGAATGTTGTGGCATTTCGAAATTGTCTATGACCATGAGAATTCAAGGTCACACTACTCGCTATCCTGGCTGTTATATTCTAAATGTAACACATTCTATTTTATAATCCTTCTTCTGTATTGCAGGTCGATATTGCACCTAGAGATGGGTTTTTACCCGATAAATATTCGTCTAAGGATAAATATTCATTTTCATTGACTATTTATCTTAAAACAGTAATAATTATTATTGTGTATTTTTTATAATAAAATTCATTAGAATTCATTTTTTATTAAATAATTAAATTTTTGCCATTCATTAATGTAATAATACCGTTTTAGTACCTACTTTTTCGAATCGAGTGGTATAGAATTTTCGATTGATAGAAAGTTATCAAATTAACTATAACTCTTGAGCTGACCTATCCTGCGTTAATAAAGTGCGAGCCAACTTTATGTTCTTGGGGTCTACTGCGTACTAAATAAAGTCATGTTGGGATTTGAAATAACCTAAGGATTCTCTTTCACAGTTCACACGCAGAATCTATTAATTAAAACACATGATATAAAAAATAAATGTTTATAAATGAGTAGGTACCCAAAGTGTTTTAAAAATATACTTTGTGTTACTAAGAATAAATAATAAACCACGATTAAAAATATTTATCCACATTTTTGGATAAATATCGAGTAAAAGTGGATATTTATCCTGGGTATTTATCTCCATTATATATATTTATTATATATATATATATATCTATTTTATCCATGACCCATCTCTAATTGCACTACTCGCCCGCCGTTTTATGATGAATAAAATTAAAACATGTTGGCTAACATGGTCAACATGATCGCTGATCAATGGGACGCTTGTGATCTGCGGCTCCGGCACAATATTTCAGTCGCACGCACAGGATACCTATCATTTCTATGCTGTGAAAATATTTACTCTATGGTTACTTATACTCTATGTACAAAATAAAAAATAAACTTCAAATATCCAAAAATTTCCAAATAAAAAATTTAAATTTGGGATACGTGCATGAATTAATGACGACTGTGCTAGTGAAGTTTTTTAATAAATTATCTTAATTAAATTTAACATAATACGTGGATTCTTAACATCATTTCTGTATGGAAAAATAAACCGATTGCATTGCATAACATGCCCGGCTCTATCTCGTAAATATGAATTGCTCCTCTGTAAAACTACTTCTGAAAACTTACCTAAAATTAGACCTTAGTTTAAGACATAAACTGCTAAAGCACTGGTGTGCTATTCAACAAGCAGGGTATGGAAATTCCCTAGGAATTGTATCCACATGTGCTCGCCCTCTTCATTTTTCTGCACCCAGAGCACATGCACAAAAGGATGACCTTTCAGTTCTCCTCACACCGCAAGAAGTAAGTGTTTTTGGATGAATAGAGAAATCCGCTTTGAAAGATACTACAAGTATTATTATTGTTTAAGTAACAAAATTTTTCTCCCTATGTAAACTTGTGGCACAAATAATATATTGACTTAATATCCCAATTATTTTTGTGTTTGCATTAGCCTATAACTTTGTAGTATTTAAAAATGGATAAGAAGAGAAACAGAGTGTCTAGTTATACTAAAACTCGGTGTGAATATTTTTAAGTTTTCCCTTGTGATGAACGGAGAAATAACGAAAACGAAATCTAGATCTAAAACGAAAGTATATTTTAAAAATCATTTTCATTTTAGAAACAAAAGTAGATATTACTAGTTGCGTGGCAACACTGGTTGTTGTGGTAATCATTACGCATCTTTAGTGTCTTTCGGCTGAAATGATGTTGATGATGATCCAATAATCTGTGTTCCTTGACAATTTGGAAATTTCCTAATTTAATTTATGTAAAATTATATTTTCTACGTGTTACTGGTGTCTCATATATGACACAAATTGACTGACTGCTTTTGTACCTGTTCTAAAATAATATAATATAATATTAAAACTTTCAATCTCATTAATAAGCTGGCAATTTAAAAATTATTTTTGGGACACTGATGAAATAGGTATACAGGGTTTTATTTATTAGAAACTATTAACAACCTTGCAGGACTGTAATACTAATATCATTTTTCTTTGCCAACATGCAATCAGTTTTATGTAACACCATAAACAGTTAATTTTTTGATATATTTTGGCATATTAGGTATACCCTTCCAATGTTGGGTTGCATTTATGTGGAAAACTATTCAACTCTGTTTTTACGCTTCAATCTTCTCTTCCATGGTAGTACACACAAGGAGCTAGCCAGAGTTTTAGTATGAGTGGCTATTCTTTCTTTGTAGAACTTAGTTACCCAAGTTCTTTTCTTAATAATTGAAAAACATTTCAAGATATTCATGGATCTCATGTATTGTAATGAATCATGGAGCATTTTTTATTTGATTTAAGAATACTGTTTTATACCGTTTGGTATCGTTGCAGAATTTCAATGTTTGACTGGCTAGCAGTTTCCTCAAAGCTCAATATTGTAAGGTCCAGATGAGTTTCAGAAGTGCTTTGTGGATAGTTTGATCATTTTCTAGAGATACAGTAGACCTAGTAATTAACATAATAAACAACAAATTTTGTTCAATGTTTTTTAATGATTTCGATTTTACTTTGGTACAAAAATAAACGTATTTACATCGCTTTAATAAGTGATAACTTTGTGTAGTGACAATAGAAGATTAGGGTAGTGGGGAAGGATTACCAAATGCAGATGCAAAAAGTGTAAGATAGTACATCAAAAACTTAAGTTCCTTTTTAGTAAATTTATTATGTTCTGTGAAAAGTCATGGATGTAGTTGTTTGTGATGTTTGTAATATAGTCCTATTATTGTGTAAAATTGTGATTATGTATGTAAAAAACTTACAACTTTTACAAAAAAGTTAAAATAAATGTAACTGTACAAATAAATACCATGTATAAACATCTTTAGAATCTGCATGAAATGCACTAGTTTTTCTGCTACAGGGGCACTGTTCCATAGTACATTTTATTTTAGTGAGCTTCTCTTGAAAACAAAGGTTTATTTTTTTTGAAAATTGTTTATCAAAGAGCTATTTGCAATTCTCATATGTTAGCACATTTTATGAAAAGAGTTATGTTGAAAAGATACGTACCTCAAAAACTTAAAAAAATACTTCAAAACTCCACATGGATATTTTTTTATGATTTTGTTTAGTGTTGCACTTGGCGATTTTTCTAAAAAAAAACATAATACATTGAATAACTTTTGAACCATACATTTCCGGACCACAATGTTTCATTAAATCCATTGGAAATACTGAACCATACCTCTGTTTTGTCCATCAGTTCCGGGCCACCCTGTAAGTATAATTATTGTAAAGAAAACTTAAATTTTTTAAATTCCAGGTCACAGCTACTCTCCGAAAAAATGAATTTAACCAAGAACTCTCATCCGGCTCAGTCAAGTCTTTTGACTCAAATCAGTTGGCTTCCAATGACCCTATTGAAGACACACGAAGTGAGGCTATATGTAAGATGACAACTGGTAAGATCACTTTAAATACATTGAAACTTCACTGCACACTGTGTTAGAACAAAATTATGCAGCACAACTGAAGAAGAAAGTGTATCTTTAAATGCATTTTTTTTATGATCACAAATGATGGGACAAGCAAGTTGTGCTCTTGGTGGTAAACAACATGGCTGTGCATAGGAATTGCAGTGCCATTCAGAGTTTTACATCGCAAAGATCTGAGGAGTACTGTCACTGCGCCCGTCTTGTCACTCTGAGACATAAGTTGACAGTCTCATGTCCTTGTAATTTCACTAGTACCCATATACTTTAAATCAGAATGGAGTAATGTTGACATTACTGCTTGGCATCCGAAAGAGATAAGGTGGCGGAACTTGCCTGGGCGAACTCTTTCACAAATACTATTGTTACTAAATAATGAAGTGTTTTATTTACGAACTATTTTTTTTATTATAATTACAGTTCGGTTTTTCTTTATACATATTTAACATCCAATAATTATTCGAAAAAAAACTTTGATAAAAATGCTAGATAGCAAATTGTAACTTTTCAAAATAAAATATAATGAAACTGGACCCAAGAACTAGGTGCTTTATATTTATTATATGTGAAATAATGAATATGTAAACTAGTTTCAACTTATTATTGTATTGATATTTGCTATTATTTTATAATGACCAAACATGCAAACCAATATACCACTGCCACATTCACATTCATGATGGCTGTCAACTATATGATCCTCTGGTCATATTGTACAGCTGTTTCACCTCCACCATATTTTAATATACTTACCTATTATGTGGCATGCAAATACTATTAGAAATGTTTCAATCACAAAATATAATAGGAAATGATACTTGTTTTCGATACAACTCTTGGCATTGATTTAATAATTATTTTTTACATTTACACACAAGAAGGGGTTGGCATTGATTTCATATTTTTTTAACATTTATATAGGATCATCTCTAGGCTTTTACTACAGAAGCTTCACAGTTTCGATTACTGCAGAAAATTGGCCTAGTTGTAGTTTTCTATTTCGGAGAATGTGCAGAGGAACTCAGTTTAGTTCCACCTTCGCCTTTCTTCATTTTCAATCTTCACTTCGGTCGACTAGAAAACCGCGAACACTCCATCCATATGTCACTGTTCGTCTAATTTACATTAAAAAAAAGACGAAAAATTTCAGAAACATCCACTAGTTAATGTATGGTAAAATTGTAGAGATCAATTTCTAAAGATAAGAATGATAAAGTTATTGAATCCATATCAGGTCATTGTAGAGATGACCTTTATAACAATATTATAAACCATGTATAGTATGTATAATATATTATAAATATAATATGTAAATATAAGTATGTAGTTAAAAATGATGTACCATGTATAGTATAGGCTGTATAAGGGTAAATCTAATTGTTACCTGTCCATTGCTACCAACTAACCGACTTTTTTGTTTTAACTCGGAATTAACTTATACTATACTCGATCAAACCTTTTTTCAGGAATGTTGATTGGCGTGTATGATGGTCATGGCGGTCCTGCTTGTGCGCAAGTTATATCAAAGCGGCTGCTTAACTACATTGCAGCTGCCCTCCTTCCACTAGATCTGCTTCAGAAATACGCCAAACAGGAACCTCGGGAGAGTCTACTAGAAAGTTTCAATGATCGTGTTGATATTGTGCAAGACTTAAAAATTATTTATGAAGATAGTTTAAAAAGTTACTTAGTAGATCTTGTACATAACAGAGTAACAACAAAACAAAAGAATGACGTAAGAACTAGCATGGAACAAAGTATATTGCGCTTGGATAGCGATATATCAAGGGAGGTAGTAGAACCTTTCGAATTATCAGGCGAGGTGAATCCTAAGACATTATCTGTAGCCCTGTCAGGAGCTGTTGTATGTGTCACCCATATAGAGGGACCACACCTCCACGTCGCGAATGTTGGCGATTGTAACGCAGTTTTAGGAACAATGACCGAGGATAAAGAATGGATAGCAAAGAAGATAACACAAGAACATAATTCTGAAAATTTAGAAGAGTTGAAAAGAATTTGGAGTGAACATCCGGATAATGAAAGAAAAACTGTCATCAGAAGAGATAGATTACTTGGCGAATTGGCTCCACTGCGCAGTCTGGGTGACTATCGATACAAATGGCCTGTAGACATTTTGTCAAAGTTGGCTGTACCGTTAATTGGTCAAAAAGCCATACCAGCAAACTATTTAACTCCACCATACCTGTCAGCCAAACCAGATATTTACTATCATAGGCTGGCACCAAAAGATAAATTTTTGATTATCGCATCTGATGGGCTCTGGGATATGTTGACGCCACTGCAAGCTGTGAAGCTCGTTGGTGAGCACATGAAAGGAAAAGTGTTTTTTAATCCTCTGAAGTTGCCTAAAAAAAATATTCAGCTTGGTGACATCAAAGAGTTGTTGTCTCATAGAAAAGAGAGTTTGAAATCAAAACCTAAAGATAGGAATGCTGCTACACATCTAATACGACACGCTATTGGGGGAACCGAGTATGGGGTAGATCATTCGAGGTTAGCTCACTTGCTGAGCCTCACGTCTGACGTTTGTCGTATGTTCAGGGACGACATGACGGTTACTGTAGTTTATTTCGATTCTGAGTTCCTAAGACAGTGTCCAACGTGAACTACATTCACGTCGATGTACCCAATCTACGAAAAGCAGTGCCTTTTTAGCCACTTTTTCATAGTAATATTTATGGTTGGTAAATAATTTATCGTTCTTTTATGTATATATACTTTGATTGACAATTTATCTACTACGTGTGGCATTTTGTTTTGGGTATGATTAAAGTAATCATTATACAGGGTTTTTCAACAAGAATTTTGTGTTGTAAGTCGAAATAAAACAATAAATTTAGATGACAATCAATCAAATTTTTATTATATTAAAAAAAGTAAGGTTTGGCAATTATGAATGAAAAAAGATATCTGATAAATGTCCACCACGACCACAGTTACAGATGTCGATTCTTTCATCAAAGTTTTTTATCACCTTAAATACACCTTTTTATAGCCTTAAAACTCAAAATTCGTGAAGTGGTTAATGAAATAGACCCAATCGATATCTGTAACTGTGGTCGTGGTGGACATTTATCAGATATCATTTTTCATTAATTATTGCCAAATCTTACTTTTTTTAATGCAATAAAAATTTGAATCATTGTCATCTAAATTTATTGTTTTATTTTGATTTACAAAACAAAGTTCTTGTTGAAAAACCCTTTATTGTAATCCAATAATAAGGTAGTTTTGATATCTACATGGCTATTTAGATTTCAAAATTGTTGATAATCTGACGATCAGTAAATTCTAACTTTTTTGTGTTTCCTTCGATCTATTAAAAATAAATTATCTCGGGTGTTCTGTCTAACATTATGTATAAATATATTTATTACAAGTGTTGTGATAGTAAATAAATTATTTAAAACAAGGTTTATCTTATGCTCTTGTTTTAATTTTAGTACATTGGTGTGTGGGCGCTGCCCACCAATCGAACGAGCCAAATACGTTCGCGATCTTTAGATCGCGCGCTAGCTCATGTAAACAAAGCACTCTGGCTAAGCGGAATACATAAATCCGATTTAACTTTTAGTAATTCAATCAAAATTTAGTAATTCACTGAACCCCGGATATAAAAGTACGCATCGGGTATTATTAATTTACCACTGAATGAATTGAACTGGATTTTATTGTAATTATAAAAGAGCGTAAAACGTACCTACTTTACTGCATATAAAATCCTTAATCCCGTATTAAACGTTCAGAATGAAATAAAAAAACGGGTAATGGCGGGATAGGCATATCAATAACGACGGATGCACACTGCTCTCGTGTCATTTACTTTGAAGATACAAAGACTTCAAACAGTAGTGTGCAACTGCCACACATACCAGCTTCGCAAAAACGTGAGGATCTGTTAGACGCTATAATAACACAGAATTGCCTAGGTACCTTAGTAAACATACGGTTCATGTCATCAAGGCGACGAGTCAGCCCTCGGCAATCTTGAAAACAGAAGTATGAGAAATATCGTTCAAAATGTAACAAAAAGCCTTTGATACGGGCACCTTATACATATAAGATATACATTTATGTAAATTCTTGGGAAAATCTGAACTAAAAATTATGAAAAACGTACTTACCTACCTCAATTTACCTATTGCGTATATTAGGCTTAAAGAAAACACAAATTAAATTTCAACTTTGTTTATTATTATTTATTAAAAGTTAATAATAATGGAATAACTAGTAAAATAGGCAAACAATAAATAATAATTACTTAGAAAGAGATAGTATGAGGATTTAGTTTTTATGTTTGAAAAGAAGAGATATTGAAATTGGTTTGGCAGCGAACATTTAAACGTTTGAACATAGTTTTGAAATAAGAAAAAAGTAGGTGGGCCTCACAACGCTGAGTAGATTAGTTGGCATAAAAATTTGAAGCGTGTTATAAAGGTATAGTCAAGAGCACATCAAGTTTGACACTTTGTACTTTGCACCGTTCTTATCGTAAGCGGCATAGAGTTGATTTAAATCTTAAGTGTCAAGCTTGACGTGCTCTTAACCCTGTACTAGTCTTTACCGTTCTTGTTTATATTTTGTTATCAAATGTAATTTTTTTTTCAACAACAAGCTTTGTAACAGGAGTGCGTCCACAGTAGGTCAAAAATCTGTCTTAAATCAGACGACTGTCTACAAAACTTTTTCAGATGAAAATCTTTGTTGCTTATTGTACAATTTAAAACCTATATTTTACTAATTCACTTTTTCTTTGAATTTCCATTTTAAGATAGTAAGACCTTTGAAAACCCGTAGACTCAGTATGTCCAATAAAAAATTGTGTTCGTATTTTAATGTAAAACGACACACATTTGCTCACTATCTGATTTATCTTAATGATTAATAATTTAAAATTTGCTGAGTACAATAGATAGTCGAATTTTTGTTCTTCTGTTGCATTTCCCTTGGCCTTCTGCGTTTGCACTACTTTGTTCTTGCAGACAGGAGCACAGCGTCATTATGTAAGTAAGTTACAAAATATTTGATAGAGTAAAATTTATGGTACAGTATTTTCCTAAACTCCCAACTTTGGAGTTATTCAATTTTTAACCACAGAAATGAAAACTTTGGCAAAGTTTAGATATTATATAATTAATTAAAACATCCGATTTAAAATTAACATGTAGGTACATACACCACTACGCCTGTTTCCCACATGTAGGCAGATCAGAAACCATGAACCATTTCTCGTTACGCTCCTGCAGCTTGATTTTGATTGCCTCTCCCGATCGGATCGATTCCGATTTGAATTAAAATCAGGGCCCTGATAGACCTTTGTCGCCTCATCCACTGTCATCAGTGTCTTAGGGTCATATTCCAGAACTCTACTCAATGCTCAAGTCAGGATTTGAGCAGACTTGAGTATGATTTTAAGCACTGGAAATACGACCCTAATGGCAAGGACTTGGGTATGATTTCTAGTGCTTTGAGTCATACTGAAACCCTGACTTGAGTATGATTTCAAGCACTGGAAATACGACCTTCATTGCAAGGACTTGAGTATAAATTCTAGTGCTTTAAATCATACTCAAGTCCTCACTTGAGCTTTGAGTAGAGTTCTGACTATAGAGTTACTCAATAATAATTATATTCGCCTATTTCCGTAAAACTAGAACGACTGACATCGTGTTTAGAAAATAATATTTATTGTTGATACGTGCAAGAAAAAAGACAGTTGAGATTGCACCACCTATATTCTTCGGAATTATTTAGATTTTATATTTTTAAATACTCCGAACTCACCGTATATTTTATCGCATTTAGCAACTAGACTAGGCTCGACTCACACTGGCGCAGAGTCGAAGCGTCGCGACGAGTCATGTTTTTCGCCTATGGCATATTCATCTATATGTTCCAATTATTAAGATATACATTTGTGTTTTGCAATTACGGAATCGAGCGAATCTGTGATTCCGGCGCACTAATGCGAGGGTCGTTACGCGTCGTGGCGCGTCACCTGGCGGTGGAGTTGAAAAACAGGACGCGACGTGACCCTTTGACTCTGCGCCAGTGTGAGTTGAGCCTAGTCTAGTTGCTAAATGCGATAAAATATACGGTGAGTTCGGAGTATTTAAAAATATAAAATCTAAATAATTCCGAAATTAACCTTAAATTGGTGTCGTTTCCATTGAATCAAATATTCGTCTAAAAACAGGTAAAATCGAGACCTGTAGCTGATTTTGATTAAATAATCATATTGATTTTTGAACATGTATTAAATTTAAACACAGTTTGACGCTGGCTGTTTTTATACCTACGACCTCTCATGTGATGAATGAAGAATCTTTTGAGCGATCACGGCATTTGGCAAAACGACTATGATGTATGTGTTGCCTGCTCTTCGTTTCGAATGTGGTCATAACGTCTTTAACGAATTGGAGCATCCCTGGCAGTGTCCTTAATTTGTCAGCTTCGTTAGACAGTTTCCCGTACTTTTCACGTCAATGATTATCACCAGTTTACAGGAATGAAATTTTCCGGTACTAAATCGCGCTTATTTTGTTTTTCATTATAATTGAAAAAACAAATACACCCGATTTAGATCCGAAAAAAAGTTTCATTTCCTACATGTAACAATTGCGAAAACTAACTAACGCTAACTGGTCAGTATAGTGGTACAATGTCAATAGACAAATCGCATAATTCTTCAATGGATTTTGTGATTAATTACATATTTGGACTTGTGAAACCTGGACCTTGTCAAAAATAATGTTGTATCTTTTGAACAAAGAAAGGAGCAACTTATTCTAGAATTTTGGTACTAGAATCGACTAAGTCGTGATATTTTTAACCGACTTTAAAAAAAGGAAGGGGTTCTCAATTCGACTGTTTTTTTTATGTATGTTATTTGTGAACCGATTTTCATGATTCGTTTTTTGTTGGAAAGAGGGTACCTCCATAGTGGTCCTCTTTAATTTTGAATAAAATCACCCTTGGCTGTTCACGCATGAAAATTCATTTTTATAAGGAGCAATTATTTTAAGGGCTGATTTTGCTATTCTCCAATTCAAGGCGTTTTTCTATCTGAATATACTTTTAGTGAGAACCGATTTTTATTATCTCCTGTGTCAAGTCCCATACAGTGGCAAACTAGGGGATGAATCCGGGTTTTCGCACTTTCCGATAACTGATTTCAATAAAATTTGGTAATTATATGTACTTCCACGTACTTTCGAGGTCGGTTTTTTACTACCTACTCTGTACTAAGGTTAGGTTATTTAATCGACCGATTTTACTTAGGCACTTTGGCTACAGAATCAACTAAAACTTTAGACGTCACTAATTCGTGATCAGTGTGACGCTGAAACAAGGCATACGGCAGGCGCCTATCCTGCCATTGTCCACTATATTGTTGCGGTTTTATTTACAAGTATAATATCATTCGGTTTTATAAAATAAGGTGCTAGGTAGTTCTTAACGTAATTCTTAGGTACCACCTACCTGACTGATACTGATGATACCTGACTGATACTGATGAGGACGTTAGGTACCCATTGATAATTTCAGGAATATATGTACCTAGAAGGTTAAACGATTGGGTTAATATTGCACTTCGAACAACTAAATATAGTCTTGTTTTAAATTCATGTGATTTTTATTTGTATATACTGGTTATTTGTTGCATCTTTACCTTTCATGACCGATATTACTCAAGCATACCGGCCCCTAACCGTGTACGTATGTGTATTTATAGATATTCATATATATTTAAATAAATACTTTTATCTTAGTCCGC